CTAACATCGCGTTGCCTGTGTGGTCAGACTGGCTCGTGCACTCCGCCAGGGGAGGGGGATCGGATCGGACAAAAGAAAAGGGGATATAGCAAATGAAGGGAAGCGAATCAGCTCACCCAATACCGGCTGCATGCAGCGAATTTCGCTCCCCCCTCTCAATCACCCCGTTTTGCGAGAGTGACGCCCTTGCACCGCGCCAGGTTTGGACTCCCCCCCCCGCCCGCTCCAACGCGGCACAGACGGCGCATGCGGTGCGTCGTTTCGCAGCCCTGAGGGCCGCAAGACTATCCACCGCACCATTCCTGAATCGAACATCGACGACGCCTTGGGAGACGTCAGCGCGGCGCGGCGCGCACAAGTCGTCCGCGGGCGCTTCGTCCGACCCGAAAGGAGGGAGGAGCCAGAGGGATCGGTCCCAAACCGACCCCCTGCTCGGGCGTGGAAAAATTGTGCCCCGGGCAAAGGTGCCCCCAAAACTTCCCGGGGGGCCCAAAGGGCATCCCAGGGAACCTCGCCCGAGGCCAGGCCGCAGGGGGCCAAAGAACGGCGCGAAGAGCTAGAGACCTTGGGCCCAGAGCACCTCTGGCACTCCCTGACCTGCGACTGCATTTGCTGGCGGCGCGCACAAGCGGGTAGCGAAGGGTCGCGCGAGCGGGGTGGCTTTCCAAGAAGGCGGGGGAGCTTCTGAGAAGGCAAGGGGCTTCTTAGATGCCCCGCCCCCCCGGATTTGCGACTCTGATGTCCTGCCAGATCCGGAAAATATGGCAATGGCCAAAACTACGTCCGAACTACAAAAAAAAAAAAACGCGACGCACGTATGCGCCCGCCGCGGACCCCGAAAACTACGCCGGCAACAACGAAGTGGGCCGCGAGATCTGACCTGGGCGCGCACAAAACCCACGGCGCTTTCGTGCTGTCACAACTCTGACGATTGCGCGGTAGAGGACCAACGACGCGTTCTACGCATATGCGTGCGAAACGGAATCTGCGCATTGGCACGTGTTTGATATGATGCCGTCGCGTCGCGAACGCCCACGGCGTGGGCGATGCCCACCGCAAGGATCACCCAAAGGTGGGCGGGCGACATTCGCCAAATATGCATCAATATTTGTCGTCGCTTTTGCAAGGCGCCCTTGATCGCCAAACGCGAGGCGATCTACATCCGCAGTAGATAGAACGTGCGCGCAGCGCAATGAAACGCAGACCCCAGCGGCACGTGTTGCCGCCATGGGCCGCGTTCCGAAATCTGAACCAACCAATCCAACATTGAAGCTCACGGCGCGCCGCGCGATCGGATAGGGAACACCAACCGGGGAATCCCCCATAGACGCGATGGCGCGCAAGGGGGCGCTGTAATGCGCGAGCGCGCGGTGACAGTGGCAACGCGCATGCAGGCATGCACCACTGTCTAGCGCAGTCGCTGGCCAAACTCGCCTGACCTCGTCAGCGCGCCCAACTAGGTTCGACCCGACAGGGGCACATTGGAGAAAAGAGGAAGAATTGCAAGAAAAATCTTGGCGTGCTGTGGCGGGGGGATAACGGGCACTTGCAGGCGGGGAAGGGGGGAGGGGCTGAAGGAGGATATGTTCCCCTCCCCCGTCGTTCCTCCTTCCCCTTCCCTGCCCAACGTGCCCCCCTCGCCCGTTCGCTCCCATTGCCCATTGATTGCAAGCGGCGTCATGCTTAAGCGAGCCCGACGCGCGGCGGAAGGGGCCGCGGCCGTGACGACATATGCACCGACATCTCCGACTGCATCAACCCTGGACAACATCCGACAAGTTTTCGCACCCGTAGCGGAACGCACGTCGGCGCCCCTGTTCTACCACGCCCTGCGCGGAAAAGCGCAAGGCGCGCTTTGGATGTTCCCTGGAACAGAGGGGCTGTTTAGGGCGGAGCGCCCTCGCGATGGCGACGATGATAATGAACCGATCGGTTGCCCTCGACGCGTTCACGCGGTACGTGAATCGTTCGCCTGTTTTTCCCTCACGAGCGCCTAGAGACTCCCCTCTCTGCGCCCCTGGGGCTGATGCGGCAGCATTGCTGTAGTTGCGCCTCGATGGTTCGCGTATCCCCACCAGCCCCTCCAGAGAAGATGCCCCGTCGATTTGCGCTGGCCAAACTCGGTTGGATCTTGTGATTGAAGGGCGCTCTGTGCGCCGTGGCCCTGTTGCCTTCACCGGCCTAGGGAGTAAGGCAGTACTAGGGCGGGTGACTCCGCCAAATTCCAACGTACATCGCCTCGTAACCGCACTAACGCCTGCCAAGGCCCGCGTAGTTCCCCGAGTAGTTTGCCATGGCGGCCCAAGACTTCCCCGTGGACGTACTTCCTTGGAGAAAACAGCGCGCAAAGTACGTCCACGGGCGTTTCCTTGGGCCACTGTGAAACGCGCGGGCGCCGGTGGACGTACTTTCCCCGGAAAAACTACGTCCACGCGCCGCGTGGCCGTTACCCCCGGTGGACGTACATCCCTCGGAAAAACTACGTCCACAGAAGTGCGGCGGATGGCCGCGCGGGGGGGCAACGGCGGCGGAGGTAGTTGCCATGGCCGGCGGTTCCGCGGCAGTAGTTTCAAGAGTAGTTGGTAATCCATTTGCACCGGCGAGGGTAGTTGCCCTGCTGGGTTCTGCAGCCAGGCGCCTGGAAAGTGATTCACGCGGGAGCGCCCGTTCTGGAAATGCGCATGTCCCAGGGTGAGGGGCATTAGGAGCAGGAGGGGGAGGCGTAGGAGGTTCCCAGGAGGAGGCGGATGATGAGGAGAAAGAGGAGGAATTATGACGAGCGCGAGGAGGAGGAGGAGCAGGAGGAGGAGGAGGAGATGGAGGAGGAGGAGGAGGAGGAGGCGAGGAGGAGGAGGATGAGGAGGAGTAGAGGAATGAGGATGACGAGAAGGAGAAATGAGTAGGATAGGAAGAGGAATGAGGAGGAGAAGGAGGAGGAGGAGGAAGAGATGAGGAAGTGGAGAGGAGGAATGTGGAGAGGAGGAGAAGAGGGTAGACAACTGCTCAAAGAGGCCCCCATGCAATGCAAATAACACTATACAATTAGCGTTACGGTACCAGGAGACTGCTGCCGCACACTTTAGTGCAAGTTCGTTTGGGCCCCCCCAGTCAGGGAGGGAGTTTGAACAAGCAACTGTTTGGGCAACGCTGTTTTCCCCCGTCGGCCACGCGGCCGGGACGGAGCGTTAACAAAATGGCCCGTTCCCCCCTCCTGCGAGGGGAGGTGGAACAAGTAATTGTTCGGACAGCGCTGTTTTCCCCCATCGGACACTCGGCCGGGACGGAATTAACAAAACGGAGTCCCCCTGGAACGGGAATTGCACGGGCGGGGCTCAGAGGTCGCCCAGAACGCGGGGACCAGAAATCTTATTTGAGACCTGCAAAGGGGCGGGTACTGAAGCCAGGCTGCGAACAAGGGGAAGCGGGGGAGGAAGAGGAGGAGGAGGAAGAGGAGGACAAGAAGGGAGAGGAGGAGGAGAAGGAGGAACAGCAGCAGATGGAGGAGGGGGAGGAGGAGAAGGAGGAGCAGCAGCAAGAATGGGAGGATAAGGGGGAGGGGGCAGAGGAGGATGGGGAAGAGGGGGCGGAGGAACAGGAGGATGTGGAGGAGGGAAGGAGTAGTGAAGCACGAACCACGGGACCAAACGTGTGTTGCGAATAAGGCAACAAGCAACACGCTCATGGCTCCAAGGACTCAATGACATACCAAGGCAAAGAACGACCAGTGACGCATACGGGAAATAGGTACCCAACGGCACGTCAAACAACAAACCTCGCGACCGTTTCAGAATGGGCTGGTGGGGACACGCGAAGCGTCAACGCTTTATGGGACCTGCGCAAGCGCTCTCCCGCACAAAATACTAATGGGATGATAGACAGCGCGCGCGGATGTATGTGTGTCTGCGTGACGCCGTGTAATGCAACTTGTGGGCATACTTGTTTCGTAGTTTACGGCGTAGTTAAAACGTAGTTTTGGTTCGTACTCGGAACGTAGTTTGGTCGTAAGTTTGCGCTTCCCTTGGATGGCGCCATCTAGCAGGACACCAATGTCACAACCCCGGATTCTAGGAAGCCGTCTTAGAAACCTCCGGGCCTTTCTAAGCAGCTTCCTGCCTTCTAAGCACCCTCCCGCTTCCTGAGAAAGCCGCGCCACCCCTTGTGCGCGCGCCTATTTTTCTGGCCATACATTAGGCCCCCAACGGCCGTTCGTGAGGATCCGGACAACCCCGGGCGACTCTCGACGAGGCGAAGCTGGCAGAAACCACCACGGGGCGCGAAAACTCCCAGCAGTATACGGGAGCATGTGAAAAGCATGGCTCCTCGGTCCTCGACCACCCTGAGGGGAAACTGTAGGGGGGACCAACTCAAGGGGGGAAACATCACCATGGAATCAGCGATGCATCGCCAGCAGATCAGCGACTGCCTTCCGATAGAAAATCCGCACCGTCCTGGCGGTGTTGGCTATCGGGCCCCTGTCGGCGATGAATGGGCTATTGGGGGTCGATGCATCTCCCCCTAAGCCCACTCGCCCCACGTAACGTCGCTCCCTGGCTTTCGGATCATAACTCCGCCCTCTGGCGGCCGCTCGGGACGAGCCGGGCACCTACGGGATGCTCTGGGCGAGGCGCCACTACTGACAAACATCCCGAGGCCAGAAAACTCTCGAGAACCAACAAGCACAACCCCTGGGACCCAGCAAAACACCGGCGCTACCCTCATATGCGCGCGGCCAAATTTGAAGATGCGCCAGGGACAGGGCAGCAGAATGACCCAAGATCGAATCGGAACGTCGAATCGGCGAAAGAAACCGGATCAGCAAAAAACGGCATCGGACGGCATCGCAATCGACGCCTGGCGGCCCGAGCCTATAGGTCTGCTCGAGAAAACACCCGAGCCGAGGCCGGAACTCGGAAGTGCACCGAATCGCGATCGAGATCCTCAGGATCGAATCGATCCAGATCGGCATGGTCCAGCCGGCTCCCGTGGGCGGGGCCCAGCGCCTGCAAGAGGCACAGCGAGCAGAAGGCCGGGCCGGCGCACAGCCCGACGCAGGAGAGCAGGAGGAGCAGCCTCTCCAGCGGGCGGCGGCTGCCGGCGCGGAGTGGGGTCGTGGCAGCGCCGGCAGGGTCGTCTACAGCGACGGCACAACCGAAGACCGGCCGAACCGACAGCGAAGCCGAGGTCGACCGAGCCGATAGATGAAAGGGAAACACGCGCTCAAACCTGGTCTTCAGAAGCGGAGGGAGCGCGGCCACCAGGGATCGACATCTCGGCCATGTAAAGACACACTGCGAGTCAGAGAGTCGCTGAGCTGGGCAAACCCAGAACTCCGCACAAGCCGACCTGCAATAGGCAAACTCATGCAGTGAACCTTGGCCTGGGAAAGACACGCGGGGCCACAACACACGTTCAAACCTTCAGGGAGGGCAAGGCGATAAAAGCGCTAAAGGTATGGGGTATAGGTGCGAGTTGTTGGACCCCGAGGGGGACTCCCTTTGGAGCGGGGACCCCCTATCCGAAACACACACACACACACCCATAGCCCTCCCCTGGAACTCCACCCCGAGAAAACTAGGAGTGGGTGCCAGTGCTGGCTGTCAGCTCATGGCCGATGGCACCAGGCGCGCGGCGGGGCGGGGAGTCTTCCAGCGCTGGCAGGTGAAATCGCAATCGAACGGCTGAAAGCAGATCGAGTCTTCCAGGCGATCGAGGGATGTTAGAAACATGACTGCTCCGTTCTTCTCCCCTCCTCGCTCAGCCATGGCGGCAGCACAATCGAAAACCGACCGAGCCGACAGCGAAACCAAAACCTACGGGGACCGCCTGCCTTCAAGCAGCCCATAAGGGCGCAGCCAAACAATAACGACACAACACCGACCGAACCGATCGAACGCAACCGACTGTGACATAGCCGAACCGAAAGAACCGCGGATACCGTTGGCTGAAGAAGGCCGGAATGGATCGAACCGCCAAATCGGATTGGATCGAGGACAGATCGGATCGCGCAAAGATCGTCGTCGGACATCGGCCAACAAGTCGTCGCGGTCAATGGTAACGTTCGGGATTGCTGATCGTGCTCGGCCCCTTCTGGGCGATGTGGGACTCGGTTCGTGCTGGATCGGATTGAGATCGGAGCCGACGCCTGGGGAATATGTGCGGGAGCGGATCGGACTGAGGTCAGCCCTAGTTGGGCAGAGGGAGAGCGTACTGAGTACGCAGCACCATGGGTCCCTCCCTGAGCCAGGTCTTGGTCAAGGTGCGCCGAGAAGGGGGGCCAGGCGCAGCATCTCCCGAGGCACGCGCGCAGACGAGGAGGGGGGGGCCTGGGGGCGTGCTGAGGAGACGAAGAAGGGGGCCTGACATCACACAAGCGAGGTGTCATGGCCCCGGCCACGCACCCCTCCTCGACGCCCCTGGTCGCTTCGTGCTGATGGCCCCCCTGGCCGGGCCAGGAACTGCTATGCGGGTGTTGCCCCGAGAGGTGTTCCAGGCCCAGGGTGCCCGCAGGACCCGCGGGGAGGCACCCACGGCCTGCAGGGCATCCCCCACGTGGCCGAGAGGGCCCCAGCCTAAGGGCTCCAGAATGAGACAGACGTTCACAGCCGGGGACACCTTGGACCAGAGGCACCTCTGGCAACACTGGAGCGCCAAGATCTGGCTCAAAACCTCACCCCCTGTAGCCCGAGGGTGGCAGGAAACACCAAACGTTGGCAAGTTGACGCTCGGCGTCCCGGCGTGGCCCCCGCATGATTCTTTAATGCGCCCGTGCTTCGCAAATCGTTCGAGTCGATGCTGCAAGAGGGGGGGCAGTAATGCAGGATGCCGGTTGACAAACAAACGCAGGGGGGACGATTGAACAAGTAGTTAGTTCTCCGCCGCTGGGGAGCAATTTTTGGAGAGGACGATCTAAATACCTGGGTGACGACGACGACACCCACTGGGCGCTGCCGCGGACGGATCTCCCCCGGGCAGTTCTTTATCGTCATCCTGCATTAGACGGGGGGCGATCGACTGTTGCAGAAAGGGGGCCCTGGAAGGGGCCCGCAAACTGGCCCCCGCGTCCAACAGATTATGGAAGGGCTGGTCTTCTTCCCGATACGTTACTTCCCCCCGCTGCCGCCTGCCCGAATCCGTAGCGGGATAACAGGGGGCATGGCGCCCCCAATCCCCAATTTTGTGCGACTTTCGACTGGACGGACTAACCATTTGTGCCTCAACTCGGGGATATACGACGGGGGGGGCGTCCATCATCCATACGTGTGCGTCCGAATAGCCCCCTGAGGGTGCATTCCTGAGTTCCACATCTGCTCGACAGCCCTGGGATTTGGGGCGAGACATCGCTGCAAAAAATGCTTCAGTAGCAATGATGATCTTGCTGGCGGAACACATGGCACGCATGCACTGCCCCCTGCACGGGAGAAGGCGAGGGCCAGGCGAAGCGGGGTGAGGAAGGGTTCTCCTAGGGCCATCATGGCCATCACGAGGAGGCAAGGGCAGGTGGGCCCAGGAGCGACGAACGAACGGACGATCCACGCCGCAAGCATGGGGCTCCGAGCTCTAGAACACAGCTGTGCAAGAGATTTAAACTTGCAGAGAGGTCCCCCGCGTCGGGAGAGAAGGCGCTCGCGCAGGGCATCCGCACGACCCATCTCGGGCCAGATCTGTGCCTGCACGCAGCTGGGGACATGCCGAACCCTATCTCCGACTTTGCGGGCTTTCGACTGGACCCAGCCAACTCCGTTCGAGCAGCCCTCAGGAGGAGTAACCTCGAATTCCTCTTTTTTTGCTTGGGGGGGGGGCGCGCGGCAGTGCGTGTTTGCTTGTCCCTGGTGGCGGTGCGCGGTGCCCTGGTGTGGGTGGTGTCCTTGAGGAGGAGAGGAGAGAAAGGGGAAACACTGACACACGCCAGACACAAACGTGGTGCCCTTCGCCAGACACACAGACGAAAAGAGAAAAAAATGAAACACGGGACAACCCCCCAAGGCCAGCGTTGTTCGTGACCCTCGTGTGAACCATACGCGTCCCATCCTCCTGCGACTGGAAAAACTTCGGGCTTCATACTTACAGCCCCCCCATGTAGTTCCGGCTAGCCTCAACAGGCTCCCCGAAAAGCTCCAGCTTGCCTCAACAAGCCCCCCGAATACTCCCGGGCGGCGTCAACACCTCAACCCTGGCGCTCGAACGCCCCAGGAGCGTCGCTGGACGCGGCGACGGGGTGTTGAGACCGCCCAGGGCAACTCCTGGGGCTAGGTGAGAGGCCTGCTGAAGCTACTCGGGGGTCCAGCCGGGACTACCCGGGGGGGCCGTCTGTGCGCAACCCGCAGCCTGACAACCTGCCACGGTGGAGGGATTCACTCTCCGCCCGGGGGCCTTGTGGCAAAGGCAGGGTCTGGCTGCCCGACCGCCGTGCCGAAAACCAGGGCCGAGGCGCTGGACAAGGCGAGGCAGACGTTGATGCTGATCTCCCGGAGGAGGACAGGGGGAGGGGTGAGACGGACGAGGGAGGAGGATTTGAACATCCACGGGCAGCAACCACAGTACTCCTGAACAGGCGGCGAAACTGGCCAAGGAAGTCAAGACTGAAAAACAGAGTCTGCAAATGCAGTCACGAGGGAGGATACTGTCAATGACGGGGGGGGGGCGAGGGGGAAGGAGGGGGCGAAAACTGAGGACAGGGGGGGAGGGGAGGGAAAAATGGATGAGGCGAAGGAGGCGGAGGAAGGTTTCCGAATGGGCTCAACCTCGCTTACGACTCGAACGCAGTGGGCTCTCGCTGGGCCACCTGACCGACGAAAATAAACGAGCGTTGCGCACGATAGCGACCTTGCGCGGTGGCTTACGCGGGCCACCATCGCTGCACGCCACATTGGAAACGATGGCGCTTGCGCGCGACCTTACGCGGGACGGTTTCGCGCCAATGTCGGGGAAAACGGCCCCGTTCTTCTGCGTCGCACCTGCCCGAAGCCAGGACACAAACTCTTGTCCAGGCTGTCCTTCTAGGGTCTATGGGGGTCGTGGGAGAATTCATAATCGAGGCTACAGCAGGAACTGGAATGATAGCCAGGGTGAACACCAACAAGTGTGCCGTTGGCAAGATAGGTTATGCAGTCCATGTGGTGCAATCTATGTTGTGCAAAACGCGCGGATCAATCTATGTGGTGTAACGAATGTGGTGTAACCTTTGTGGTGCAATCTACGTTGCGCAATCGATGTGGAGCCGTTGATGTGGAGCAACCCGTGTGGTGAAATCGATGTGCACACCTCTATGCGGTGCAATCTACATGGTTCAATGTCGGTTGTGCAGATTGTGTGGACCAGTCTAGGGGGTGCAATATATGTGGCCGGCATTGTGCAATCGATGTGAAACAATATGGCACACGGGGTGTGGTCAACTATGTGTTCCGCAACGCACGTGGTCCGCAAAGTACGTGGTGAGTGGTGCAATAAAAATGGTGCAACCTATATGTGCAGTCCACTTGGTTCAAACTTTGTGGGCTAACTTATGTGGTGCGCAATGACGGTGGTGAAATGAAGTGTAGTGCAATCGATGTGGTGCAAGAAATTGCTGCTCGCCATGATTTGCCAACGCCACTGATCACGCAATACTCCCACCCACCCTCACGCAACTTGGTTTGCAAAACCCATACGACGGCGATTGCGACGAACTAGTTTGGCGCGACCGACGCGGCCGCGGTGGCGCTGACCGCTGGGAACTTCCCAGCGGGCACTTCAGTGCGAGTCGGTGATTGGGGCGGGCGCGGCGACGCCGACAACTGCAGACGCGATTCTGGAAGTAGCGATGATGGTGACAATGGTGGCGATGACGACGACAAGGCCAGTGACGGCGCCGATGTCAATCACGCCCGCCGATAACAATGACGATGTCCTCGCGTCGGCGATGCATGTTTTTCAAGGAGGTCGACATGCGCGCGCGGCCGACGCGCGCGATTGGCCCGCGTGGTACAATTTGACACGGGCCGCCCCCCCCCCCCCAGCACGCGCGCAAGGGTGTTCGAATGAGTCCGACACGCGGCGCGGAGAGGCCCGTTTGGCAGAATGTGGTGGACATGTTTCTGGGAAAACCGATGGTTTGCTTACGGATTCGCAAGAGCGCGAGCGCACGATATTTGGAAACCGAATGCTGCAAAACCGTGTGTTTGTTATGCGTTTTCGGGGCGCTCGATTTTGAAACCCTTACGGCGCCGAAACGTTTCAATTGATTTCGGCATGCGCGCGCGACGACGCGCGCGCGCACTTGAAATTTCAGCTTATGCAAGGGATTCTTGCGACAGCACGCGCGCAAGGGCGATCGAACGATTTCGACGCGCGTGCGCGAGAGGCCCATTTGGATGCATGTTATGAGAAAATGAAACAATATATGGTTTCCGTAAGAAGTCGCATGAGCGCTGGTGCAGACTGCATTCGATTATTCGTGTTGCCGAACCATGTCTTTTAATGTTGTCGTGACGCTCGATGTTGAAACCCCTACGAAGCCGAAAGATATCCTGTGGCGTTGGGTCTCCGTTTTGAAGAGACAGCGCCCCGCGTTCTCATTCCTCCGGCTGCCCCCTCCCTTCTCATCTCACCATCATCCAAAGCATCAGCGTCATCATCGTCATCGTCATCGTCGTCGCCTTCATCGTCATCATCATCACCGTCGTCACCATCATCATCATCATCATCATCATCATCATCATCATCATCATCATCATCATCATCATCATCATCATCAGCATCAGCATCAGCATCAGCATCAGCATCAGCATCAGCATCAGCATCTGCATCATCAGCATCATCGCCATCATCACCACCATCGCCATCATCATCGCCGTCATCGCCACCATCATCGACACCAGTTTCGGCACACCCCTCAAACGTTGCGTGGCCCCATAGGGAGCTCCACCGAAGGCCCCATTGCCACCGTCCACATGCGTCCCCCATACCCATTTCGGACCCCCCCACACACGCTTCGTGGCCCCATACGGAGCTCCACCGCACGCCCGACTGCCACCGAACACATGCGTCCCCCCACATATTTCGGCACGCCCCATCACACGTTTCGTGGCCACATAGGGAGCTCCACCGCAGGCCCCACTGCCACCGTCTACATGCGCCCCCCGCGCTGATTTCGGCACGCCCCTCACACGTTCGTGACCCCATAGGGAACCCCACCGAAAGCCCCAGTGTCGCCGTCTACATGCGCCCCCACACCAGTTTCGACACCGTCCTCAGACGCTTCATGGCCCGTTAGTGAGCTCCACCGAAAGCCCCAATGCCACCGTCCACATGCGCCCCCGCGTAAAAAATCCGGCACCTTCCTCACACGTTTCATGGTCCCATAGGGAGCTCCACCGAAGGCCCCAATCCACATGCGTCCCCTGCACAAATTTCGGCACCACCCTCGCATGTTTCGTGGCCCACAAGGGAGCTCCACCGAAGGCCCCAGTACCACCGTCCACATGCGTCCCCCACACTTATTTCGGCACACCCCTCACACGTTTCGTGACCCCACAGGGATCTCCACCGAAAACCCCGCCGCCACCGTCCACATGCGTCCCCCGCGCCGATTTCGGCACACGCCTCACACGCGTCGTGGCCCCATAAGGAGCTCCACTGAATGCCCCAGTGCCACCGTCCACATGCGCCCTTCCGCACCGATTTCGGTTCACCCCTCGCACGTTTCATGGCGCCATAAGGAACTCCACCGAAGACCCCATTGCCACCGTCCACATGCGCCCCCCGCACCCATCGCGGCACACCCCTCAAACGCTTCGTGACCCCATAGGGAGCTCCACCGAAAACCCAAGTACCACCGCCCGCATGCGTTCCCCAAGCGAATTTGGCACCCCCCCCCGCACTCTTATAAAGAGCTTCGTCGGAGGCCCCAGTGCCACCGCCCACATGCGCCCGCCGCACCCATGTCGGCACACTCCTCACATGGTTCGTGGCCCACTAGGGAGCTCCACCGCAAAATGGATTCACAATTGCGGTACTCCAAACTGCACATGGTTGGGTCCTACGCCAGGCTAATCCCAACGATTTCGGCATGCGCGCGCGAAAACGCGCGCGGGCGTAGTTCGATCCAGCTTTTGCAAGGGATTTTTGAAACTGAGAATTGCTTATTGACGAACGCGCGCATACCATGTATTGAACTGGATGGCGTGCAGGGGGGGTCCATGCCGGCTGGGCTGGGATGGTACGAGTTCATATGTATGTAGGACTGACGATGGGGAATATTCGCATGTATCTGGCAATTCGGAATATGGAACGGGCATGTCCGGGGGGGGGGGTAGATCCGGAGGAGTACACTAGAGGAGCAGTACATTTCTTTTCGCAATGAGTTGTCCGCCCCATCGTTCGCGCAAACATCCCACCCACCCACCCGCAACTTTGTTTGCTAACCTCATGCGGCGGCGATTGCGATGAATGCTTGGCGCTGGCTGGCGCATCTCAGCGGCCGAGTCAGCCCGCGCATGCGCGCGCGCAGCGGCCAAGTAACTTGGCGCGACCGACGCGGCCGCGGCGGCGCTGACCGCTCGGCGCATCCCAACGGGCACTTGAGTGCGAGTCGGCGACTTGGGTGGGCGCGGCATCATAGCAACGTCGACAATTGTAGGCGCGATGATGCTGATAGTAGCGATGTTGGTGACGATGCTGACAGCGACGACATCGCGGCCAGTGACGGCGCCGATGCCGATCGCGCCGACGACGATGACGGCGTCTTCGCGTCGGTGATGAAGGTTTTGGAAGGAATTCAGAATGCGCGCGCGGCAGACGCGTGAGAGTGGCTCGCATGGTATGATTTCACACGGATCGTTCCACCCCGGCGCGCGCGCACGGGCGTTCGAACGATTTCGACATGCGCGCGCGCGAAGCCCGCTTGGTAGCATGTTATGAAAATGTTGAAGAACTGATGGTTGTCTTAAGAATTCGCAAGAACGCGCGCGCTTTTGTTGAACACCCGCGTTGCGAAACCGTGCATATATATATATATATACACACATATATACATAACATGTAAAGGGGAACTCGTTTTGAAAACCCTGCCGAAACCGACGGTGTTTGAAGGATTTCGGCATGCGCGCGCGACGACGCGCGCGCGTGCACTTCGTCACATCTGTTGCAAGGGACTCTTGAACATTTATGATTTGTGTACACGAGTGCGCGCGCGTAACATATTTTGCCGAGGATGGCGCGGGTGGGGGGGTGGGGGCGATGCCAGTTGCCGGGGCAGTTTGAACTCGCAGTTAGGATGGGCGACGGGGCAGAATCACACGTTATCCGAAAAGGTGAACATTTAAGTCCGGGGTGAGGAGAGGGGCAGAACCAGCAGGGGCGCGAAAAACGGCTCGGCCTACCGCCGAGCCACAAAACGGCTCGGGCTTCGGCGGGGGAGCTCTCGGCCGCCGCACGGAGCGAAAGACGCCGCTCTCCATTCGCTGCGGGCCCCTTTCCCCGGGCGGGCCCCAACCTGCAAACTTCGCCACTCGCGCGCCTCGCCCCGGGAGTTGCCTGGTGGATGGGCGCAGCCCTGAGAAGGCGCGCTCTGCGCGGCCCTTCCGCCGCTTGTCTTTGGCCGTGGGCT